TGAGAAGTGCTCATTAAAATCTAATTATGAGAAAGTCACTATTATATGTAGGAAAACTACAAAATATTAATAGGTTGTACCCTGTATTACTTTTCAGGTTTGTGTGTACTTTGGAGGCAGTTCAAAATTTAGAGGCTAAAGAGCTTCAGTTTTCTCTCTTTCAAAAAAAAAGACAGTTTAGTTTATCATGACACATAGCTTTTGAAAAATCATTTATTTTGTTTGATCAAAATTATAATTTTCAAATAAAATTATAAAAAAGAATAAACTTTTAAATAAAAAACATTCATATGGTCTATGCTTGGATTATAAAAAATGCAGCTTGATAAACAGAATAGATTTGTGCAAACCTAAGCCTCACCATGAGGTGCAACAACACCTATGTAAGCACAAAAAATCTAAGCTAATATTGGATTTTCTTCTACGTCATAAACCTATGAAATAACAAAATATAGATTAGTAACTAACCCGTTTCACTTGAAAAAAGTTGAAGATCGGTCTTTTGTCGAAGTCATCCAATCTGAATAGAAGTAAGAAGAATCTAAACATATAATCAGTCTTCTACTGTATTTTGTTGTACATATATATTGATGCCTTAATTCTTAAACCTAAAACAAACTGAATATTGAGTAGAAACTTACCTGAACCACTTTGACTAATAAAATTGGTCACTAAGAGTAGTCATTTCAGATTGCCTAAGTACCTGAATTGATCCAAACAAAATCTATTGAAAATAAATTTTAGAATTAATCTTTTTTTAGTAAAAATAATCAAAACCGCCATGTACCCAAGCACAGAGGTCCAAGAAAATCTTTTTAAGATTTTGTTGTGCTTACATTAATATGCACTCATACGGAAGTTGTAATCATTTTCAAGTTTAGGATTAGCTTGCTCACTTAGGATTGAGATGAATCACAACGACCCAATTTAGTCAAAGCTAAAACTAATAAATCCACCTTGCATCCTACTACTTTGAAAGTGAGCCATTTAGACGTACTCCATAACTAACATTTTTAGTAGTCATCATACATAGTATCCTACCCCATATTAAAAGTGGACACTTTTTAACACAAAGTGCAGACATGTAAGAAATGTCATTGAGGAATTTTAGCAAACACATTCCAAACAAAGTATTGATCCAAATTCAATCTCAAAACTTTAAAGTGAAATGCAAAAATTAAATAATTCAAGAAAGATATACAAAGAAACTGAACTTGGAGATGTTCAACTATACCATATGGGTGTGAAATAACAATAGTTTATGTGAAATGTTAAAAATTAAAGCATACCGCTGCGAGGCTTGACGAATCTCTTAATTACATCTCCCTGTAATGTTTCGTGATGTTCTATGGCAATAGGTGGTCTGCTCTTGTGTAAGAAGGGGAAGCAGTTGGAGAATGTCAAACGAAATGAGATGAAGAAGTGAGGTAGTTCATGTCTGTCACTTGGCGAAGACGATGGAGGAGAGCATGGAAGCGGTTGAGGTTGAGATTGATAGTATTGAAATTGATGTGGGGGAGATGACTAACAAATCGAGAGGGGGCGGTGAGGCGAAGTATGAATCTCATGAGAAAGCACGAGTGAAGGGAAGACGGGAAGACACGGGGACATCGATGAAATGTGATGGACGGTGAGATGTGAATCATTGATGCGCCCCTCGTCGCCGGACAAAACGTATCCATTTTCAAATCTATGTTTGCAAATCTTATTAAAAAAAAGAAATCAACTCTCGCTACACAACAAAGCACAATTAATGAAATTTCTTTGTATTTAACTTATGATGTTGATTTTGAAGAAGATGATGATTTTGACGTACTAAACTGGTGGAAGGGAAAAGAAAGAATGTTCCCGCTTTTAGCAAAGATGGCTAAGCAAGTGCTATCAATGCCGGTTTCAACGGTTGCCGTGGAACAAGAATTTAGTTCGACCGGCAATGTTCTAACACAAACCAGAACGAGGTTGAGTGCTGAATCTCTTGAGATGCTTATATGCTACCACGATTGGTTGAAAGCAGCCCGTAGAGCTCAAGAAATTGACATCACTCCATCCCAACACTTTATGGATGAATCTACAACAGAGGGTGGCTCTACCTATGCCGGAGATTCCGATTAAAAACAATTATAGTTCCTATTTAATTTTCAGATGTAGTTCCTATTTCATTTCAAATAAATGCACTTGAAGTTTGTTTTTTAATACTTGTATAAAACTATAAAGTATAAAATATAAATTAAAAAAAAATATTTAACCGGCCCGGCCCGGCCCGGCGGGTGGCCCGACCCGTGACCCGAGCAGGTGGCCCGGCCCGAACCGGACCCGTCCAATCCTCGGGCCGGTCCCGGGCCCATGTGATACGAACCGGCGGCCCGACCGGGCCTGACCCGCCCCGAATCCATCCCTATTGTGCACCTTTTAAACTCTCTATTTTCAAATAATTTGATAAAATGTTATATATCCTCTTTTATTTTCAAATACATTTTCTTTGATTTGATATTTCTTACGTTTTAATGTATTAATATTTTTTTCTAAAGCACTTACAATTATAAAATCAAAGTTATTTTTCCATTGTCTAAACTTAGAATGTAATATATTTACATGTCATCATGTATGTACCTATGAATTCTTTTTTAATAAAAACTAGCCGCAAAGCCCTACACTATTGAAAAAAAATCGCCTTGCTACACTAGCTAAAAAAGTTTCGCTCCTGTACACTAACGAAAAAAAATTCACTCACTACATTAAAGAAAAAAAATTCGCCCCTTTGACTCAAAATCCTGAATCGGTCCGTGAGGAGAGGTAGTCAACTTCAATGTAGGTTATGGCAAATATTGATTCAGGTGTTAAGTGAAATGGCTGACTGAAGATGGTTTGAAGTTGGGGAGGTTTTTGAAAGGAGGCTAGACATACGAAGGCTTGAAATTGGAGGGCACGTACTGAAGAAAACCAAAACACCAATGCTAAACGCGACTCAAGCTAGCGTTTTAAATTTCAGCTTTTTGGGTCCAACCAACTAAACAAATCATCTACTTTCTCAAACAATTATTTTAGTTGTTTAAATGGTTGAAGAAGCCAAAAATGGCTGAGCTATTTAGTATTTACCAAACAAGGCCTAAAAGTGAAAAAATTAAATTCTAGTTCAAAAGTGTCACTAAGATAATAGTCAGACATTTTTTTGAACGAAATAGTTGACCATGTTCGAATCCCACCTCCATTACCCGCACGGGTAACTTAGTTGGTCGAACGGTGGAAAAAATTGGACGTAGACCAATGTTCGAATCTCGCAGCGGCCAAAAGGGGGGATTTCAGAACCTGAAATAAGGTTAACCCTCTGGTGCGCACGGGTAAAGACCTACTGCCGCTTTGCTAACTGAGTCACCGTGATTAACCTCCCTACCATCTTGTCGGGTCGGGGTGGGGGCCTTGGGGTTGGGCATTCAACCTTTTTGGACGTGAACGAAATAGTCAAACAATTAAAAGTGGCAAAAACTCGAGATTATTTCACATTTTCTATAAAAATAGTTTTTTAGCACCGTTACTCCTAAAAAAGTTATAGATAAAAATGTGACTTGATAATTTTTATTGACTATAGTTATGTTCAACCTTTATACCGTAGTGACTACATCATGACTTTTTTTATTAATACTCCGTAAATAGAGTATTTTAAATACTCCATAATTACTAAACACTTTACAGATAAAAACTTGAAGTAGAAGGCAAAATGGTTTAAATTGCTTTTATCTTTCTTTAATATGTAAAAAGTAATTTTTTATTGATCAAACACTTTAACCTTTTCCTTTATTCAAATTGCTTTTTTTTTCTCAATTATATAAACATTTAGGCATGGTTTGGTAACACTGAAATTGGTCGAATCGGCTGAATCCACCTAATTTGATAAAATGCTAGGACTAAATCTACTGAATTATAGAAAAATTATACTTGACGTATATTTCATTAATATATTAAAGAAAAATTATACAAAATAGCTAAAATGGTACTTTACAGTAACTTCAACAATATCAACTAGAAATGTACTTTTAACCTTAGTGATTTTGATTATTATAAAATTTAGCGTCAAAATTAAAAAATATGGAGTACATGTTTAATTAAAAGTTGGTTGATAAGAGTGATAATTTGAAAACAAAAGTACGAACAAACTCTTACTTACTATTAGTATAATCTCTAATAGCCTGTTTGGTAACCCTGAGATTGGCCGAATCGTCCGATTTTGATGAAATTGATGAAGTCATAGTTGAAGCGGATGAATAGAATGAATTTGTTGAATCATGAAGAAAAAATTAAAACATATTTTTTTATCAATAAAGTATACTCCCTCCGTATCGAAATTAAATTTCGGATTTGACTTCACAGTTTTTAGATAGAATATGAAATAAAGTTGGACTTTCTAAAAATGCCTAGGGCTAAATAAAATATGTAGTGCCTAGGGGTAATATTCAAGGTGAACATACATAAAGGGGTAAGTGAATAGTCAAATGAGAGTAACATACATGAATTAAATGAAGTTGAAGTATGAGAGTAAAAATCTAAATGAATAATAAAAACCTACCAAATATAGTAAGAAGTTGAAGTAAGAACTTTATTTAGGAAACCGTGAAAATGAAAAGTAGAATTTAATTTCGGAACGGATGGAGTATTTCAATATATTTTTTCATAAATCAACAAAATCAGACGATCTAACCACTTCGACTAAAACTATATAAATACTCCTTCCGGTCCTAAATAAACTTCACACTTTGACTTCACACAAATTAAGGAAATAAATTTGACTTTATTGTAGAGTACACTGTTGTGACACTGTTTGACACTGTTTGGCACTGTTTTGCACTGTTTTGATGTAGATAATTTGCCAAATAAAGAATGGAGAAGAAGTGTGAAGTTTATTTTGGACCTATCCAAAATGGAAAGTGTGAAATTTATTTAGGACCCGAGAGAGAGTATAACAATTGATTCAGCTAATTTTAATACTTAAAATCCTCGACAAACTCGCACACTTCCTCGTTAATATTCAGATTGTATTTGCCGCACTCTTCCGACCACATTCATTCTTCAAAGGAATCCAATAGCTGAAATCATGAGATGTACGGTAATACGAAGTATATGAGACTATGTGATACGGATTATACATATATATACACGGAGTATATATACCCTCACAGCTGTGTTTGTACTCAAAAGGCCATGACAGCTCCAAAAGTTGAGAAATCAGAGGATGAAAGGAGGGCCGTGCTCTCTCCCGAACAGTTTCGGATCCTTCGACAAAAAGGCACCGAGTAATTAATTCCTCATCTCCCCCTTTTTCAGTCATTTGGTCAATTCCTTTGAGCAAACTTATAAATTGCACATTTTGCGTGCTTGTGTGTTCGATTTCATTTTATGCCTTTGCTGATCAATTAACAATTCTGTGAAGTATATTGGGTTAACTCGTGAGAAAATGCTCTAAATGCATATAACCCGATATTTCAACATATTATCAAAATGAGACTCGTTCACTGTTAAAAGAAGGTTTTTAGCCTTTTTTTTTTCTATTTAGGACTAAGGAATAAAGTGTGCTAGTCTTGTTTGTGAATTTTGTTTATGCTTTAGGCTATGAGTATTTGTTTAATTTCTTCATCATCATGACATGATGCTCACCCTAATTTAGACTTTTTTGTGATCCCTTTGTACTTATGGGATAATTAATCGTCCCACTATAATAAATGGGTTGAAAAAACCAAAAGAAAAAGTACATATATGATATAACTATGGTGAAGTAATTACGCGATGAAGTCCCAAAAACCTTATTGTGAGTTTTAGGGAGTGTTTACTATTGCTTCTATTTTGAAAAATAATGATTTTTAAAGTGATTTTAAAGAATGTTCTTAATAGTAAAAGTTGGTAATGTTTGAGAAAAAAGTGACTTTGAAAAAGTAAAAATTGATAGTGTTTGGTAGGTATGAATTTGGGCCTACGACACTTAGGCCTAAAATGAATTACTCCCTCCGCCCCTCTATAATTGTCCCATTTTTCCATTTTTTGATGTCCATTTACTATTGTCTCCTATGTAGCACCGATATCGGTACGCGGAATTGCCGAAACGCGGACACGGGTACGGGAATATGGCAAAACAAAAAAAAAGTAGGATACAGATACAAGGCCATTATCATAAATATTAAAAGTTATGGGGGTGTATTTACAAATATTAAAAGTTACAGGGGTGTGTTTATAAATATTAAAAATATATATTTTTTGGAAATATATACATATAATATCCTATGAAATATACAAAAAAAATAATTTTTTGGATATATATATATCCTATATATACATATATACCCATTCATTACATATACAACATAATATTTCTAATATACACTAGTGCATCTCGAAATATAAATGTAGACATGTAGTCGATAAGTCATTAATTTAAAATGAGAAATAAGTCAAACAACTACAATCTTTAAATTAAAAGTGCAAGTACCAAAGTTCTAGAATAATTAAGATAGAAAACAATATTTTAAAAGCTCTAACTTCTACTCCCTCTGTCCCTCTATTATTGTCCCATTTCCTATTCACTTGGTCAAAACAAATCACTCTTAATCTCTTACTTTATTTATCAAATTTTTATCAAATTTGATTCTGGTTTTTGCGACTTTGTAAACCTTTTAATGTAGTAATATATATTTTCACCGGAAGTATTAATTTCCAGGAATAATATCATCTTCCAAAAAAACGGCCTCCAATACTGGGTTAGAGATAGGCTTCTGGACTTGCTCAGTAAATTAGATACGGAGTATGAGTTGATGACTTGATTGAGTTGATTCAGATATACCATATAAGCCCATTATTTGATTACCAAGTAAAATGTTGTTTTAGATTTTCATTTTTTTAGAATTTTATTAAGTAAATTTTGGGTTTTTTTTTCAAAAAAGTTGATACGGGTATCCGTCAGGATACGATTATCGGAAACTTTCAAAAAAATACAAAAAAAATGGAAACTTTTAAAAATTACAGATACGGCCCGGGAACGTACGGTACGAGTATCCTAGAGTATCAGATACGGGAACGTATCCGATACGCCGATACGCTACCCTAGGGAAGTATCCGTGCTTCATAGATTGTCTCATACTGTATTTGTTAACATTTGTGTGACTCTAATTCATTCTTACTTTATTTCCACTTTATCAACTCATTTTCCACCACATAATTCTACTTTTCTTAAAAAACACACCACTCCCTTCCATACCAATATTAGGGGGGCGGAGGGAGTATATATTTCCTATGAAGTTGTTGGATTAATTGGGCGGAGGTGTGGATCCTAGAAGTTTAGTATTGATTGCTAAAATTTGAAAGTTTTAATCAAACATTTTAACTACAACCCTAGTACAAACAAATCATTGTTTATGTTGAAGTATATGTAAATCTATAAAATATTAATTTGATACTCCGCATATAAGATGTTAGCTATTCTTTCTATTTGGTAAACCTTTTGTGAGAATAATGGAACATGATGCTCTCTAAGGAGCCCTGGCAGATATATTTATAATAAGAGAGTTTAATGTAAAATACAATACTAATGGTCTAATAATTCTATTACACCTCCTCAAGCTTTGCGGGAGAAACAACGCGCAGGTTGTCTTTCAAAAAATGAAAACGCTGAGTAGGTAGACTCTTAGTAAAAATATCTGCCAACTGTAGATGTGTAGGAACATGCTGAACAATCAGATCTCCATGGGCAACACGTTCGCAAACAAAATGATAATCAATCTGGATATGCTTACTCCGAGCATGCCGGATAGGATTTGTAGTCAGATAGGAAGTCGAAATATTATCACATAATAGATGCACAGGTTCCGTGATGGGGTAACCGAGCTCAAAGAGAATAGATCTGATATGGAGTGTATCCTGAACTGTGTATGCAATAGCACAGTACTCTGCCTTTGTGGATGACTTTGAGACGGTGGGCTGCTTCTTGGACTTCCAAGAAATTAAACTAGGACCCAAAACGACAGCAAAACCAGTAGTGGACCGTGAGCTATCAGGACATCCAACCAAATCTGCATGAGAATAGGCACCAACACATGTGGGTCGAGTAGAAAGTTGTAGCCACAACCCATGATCACGTGTCCCCTGCAAGTATCTGAAAATTCTTTTGACTGCAAGTAGATGAGTAGTACGGGGGGTATGCATGAACTGAGAAACTAAGTGTACTGCATAAGTAATATCTGGCCTTGTCAAAGTTAAATATTGTAAAGCACCTACCATGCTGCGATACTCAGTAGAGTCCGCAAATAACTCACCATCAGAAAGAGACAGAGTAGTACGAGAAGCTAATGGTGTGCGAACGGGTTTAACCGTATGGAGATGAAAACGTGTTATAAGATCGGAGATGAAACAGACCTAGAGGAGAACGAATTGCCTCTAGACCCAAGAAATAATGGAGATTACCCAGATCCTTCATGGCAAAATGATTAGAAACAACTGATATAAACTGGGTAATGGTGGACTCAGAATTGCCAGTAATAATAATATCATCTACATATAATAATAAATAAATGATAGAATTATTATGACGAAAAATAAATAATGAGTTATCAGATTTACTACAGGTAAAATTATGTTGTAGTAAAAAACTACTAAACCTATGAAACCAAGCCCGTGGTGCTTGCTTAAGACCATTAATAGCCTTGCACAAACGACATATGTGATTAGGAAATTGAGGATGAATAAAACCACGTGGCTGACTCATATAGACTTCCTCTGTCAGGTGACCATGTAAAAAGGCATTTTTAACATCAAGTTGACGAATAACCCAACCAAAAGATACAGCTAATGTAAGAACAATACGAACAATGGCGGGTTTAATGACAGGACTAAAAGTTTCAGAAAAATCAATACCAGCCTGTTGAATAAACCCCTGAGCAACTAATCTAGCTTTATGGCGATCCACGGAACCATCAGAATGATATTTCATTTTATAAATCCACTTACATCCAACAATATTCTTAGTATTGTTAAAGGGCACCAGATCCCAAGTATGATTATTAATGAGTGCATTAAATTCATCAGCCATTGCTTCTCGCCATTTTAAATGTTTATTAGCCTCAGTAAAACAAGTGGGATCCACAGGAATAACAATTGTACTTAAATTAAAAATGGTTTTAGGTTTAAAAATGCCTGCCTTGGCACGGGTCTGCATGGGGTGGTGATTAAAGACAATTGTGGGCGCAATGGAATTGGGTGGAGGGGAGATGGGGTCGGGCTGAGAAGTGTCACGTTGGGCAGACGGAGTGGAAGGTGGAGAACTAACGACACTCTAAATGGAGAGAGGTTGTTGATGACCGCCTGGACGATGGTGTGGAGCTGGGTGACCGGGAGGAGGAAGGTGACGGCGAGGAGTTGGGTATTGGGGTTGTCCTAGTGGCAGGGTTCTAAAAAGGATGGAGGAGAGGTGTCGTTGGGCATGGCTGCAATAGAAATCGGGTGGGTGACTTGAGGTTAATCCGTGGGTTCAGGCGAGTAACTTGTGAGGTGCATGGGAAAATTTGTTTGGGTCGGTGTAAGGGATGATCTAGATTGCGAAAGGGGTTTAAAGGGATAAGTATCTTCGTGGAATCTAACATGACGACTGACATAGACACGGCCGCTAGTAGGATCAAAACAATGATAGCCCTTATAGCCAGATGCATAGCCAAGAAAAACACATTGGACAGACCTAGGGGAAAGTTTGTTAGCCGAAGTGGCTGAAAAATTCGGATAACATGCGCAACCAAAAACACGCATAAATGAGTAGTCAAGAACACGGTGAAAAAGTTTTTGATATGGAGAAATTCCCATCAGTGTCGGAGTCCGTAATCTAGTAATGATATATGCAGCAGTGAAAATAGCATCGACCCAATATTGACTAGGAACAGATGCCTCAAAAAGCATAGTCCGAGTTAATTCAAGAAGATGACGGTGCTTTCTTTCAGCAACCTCATTTTGTTGAGGTGTGTCAGGACAAGATTTTTGAAAATAATGCCATGATCAGAAAAAAATTGCTTCATAGTATGATTAACAAATTCACCGCCCCCATCATTTTGAAAAATTTTAATTTTCTGATTAAAAAGATTTTCAACCAAAGCTTTAAAATTTTTAAAAAGCACAAAAAACTTCACTTTTGTGACACATGGGGTAAATCCAAGTAAATCGAAAATAATCATCAATAAAACAGACATAATATTTAAACCCCAAATTAGAACGAACTGGAGATTGCCATACATCAGAATGAATAAGTTGTAAAGGAAGAGAAGAATTATGACAAACATCCGTAAAGGGTAAACATTGTGATTTTCCTAACCGGCAAGCAACACACTCATGAGTAAAAGGAGTATGACTACTGGTAGCTCACAGAAGCACCGTCCCCGAGGCTTTGTACTTAATCAAAAAAGATTTTTTATCAAAAATGACAATACAGTTATTATATGCGCAAAGCCGCTTAATAGAAATTAAATTATATTTTAACTGAGGCACATGATAAACAGATTTTAAGGTGAGAGAAGGACCAGAAGACGGTAATACAACATCACCAACATGACGGGTAAATGGGCACCATTAGCAACACTAACAGAATTATAGCCAGTGTGAGCAGATTTATTAAGCAAAATACCTTCGGATGCAGTCATGTGGGTAGAAGCTCCAGAATCAGGATACCATATAGCCGGATTAGATTCCCCAGGAGTACTCAAAAGAGCAGGAGCAGAAGGCTGAGTAAAGCGTGAGGGACAGGTAACAGCGGAATGACCTGCAGAAAAGCAAATTTGACACACAACAGGATGAGGATCAGAATCAAGAAAATACCCCCATCTGATGTTAAGCCTGCAGAACTAGAATTAGTAACACCAACATGTAATGCATTAATATTTAAATGTGACATGACAGAATTACAAATGACAGTACCCGTAGTTGGTACACCCCCTGGATGTGGAGCATACCCAGTTGGAACGGAGGAACCACCCCCTGCCGCGGCGTAACCCGCCTGACTCTGCTGCGGGTACCAAAACATAGGCTGCACCTGCTGTCCTCGGCCTCTGCCCCGGCCACCGCGTCCCCTGCCGCGACCACGTCCACGGCCGTGTGACCCGAAGGGCGCTGCTGCTGTCCGCCCGGTGAATGTGGCCTCTGCATCGGTTGGCCAGGCTGGTGGCTAGCGGACTGCCCGGGAAAAGAAACAGTGGCACCGAAAGCCTGATGAATGGATGAAGTGCCCTGGGAGCGGAGATAAAGAACCCGTTGCTCTTGTTCAAGAAGATGATTGCGAAGTTTCTCAAACGGGAAATTGTCATGGAATAACGAGACAGTGGTGAACATAGATTCATACTCGAAACCCAAACCCATAATAGTAATCTTGAGCACTTCGCGAAGGGGAACAGGGCAATTGATAATAGCAAGATCATCAACCAAAATTTTAATCTCCCTTAAATAATCATCCATAGACTGATCAGGTTTCTTTTTGATTTGAGAAAATAATCGCTTTAATTCCATAGATCTGACCAAACTGGTTGACATAAATTGAGATTCTAACCGTTCCCAAATTTCACAAGAATGTTTTAAATCACGAACATCAATGAGAACATCACGTGAGGGGCAAATAACCATGAACGGATGGTTTGGTCAATGCGTAGCCAAGTAGAAAATTCAGGATTGGGAAATTGACGGTTAAGAACATCTATGGAATAAGCAGGAGGTACCTGAATTGAGCCATCAACCATGCCAAGGAGACCCTGCGAGACAAGGAACATTTCAAATTGAGCCCGCCACGTAGTATAATCTTCCACCGCTAGAAACTTAGTAGTCACGATGTTGGTGACATTGGTCGCCACATGCGAGATGATCTGAGCAAGTTCAACCAAGGGAGAATTTGAGGGGCTGCATGCTGGTTTCCGGATAGAAGAAATTCCCGGCGACCCAACAAAGGTGGGGCTAGCGAACGAAGGAACCGATAGGGGAGGCGGCTCAAGAGGAACTTGCTGTACCGGGACTGGTGTTGACCAAAGGAACGTCGGTGGAAGGTGCTGAAACAGAGAATAGGGCCTGGAGGAGTGGCTCGGTGAGGCATAGCCAGAGGAGATCGTCGGTGGTGTGATGCCGGCGGAGGATGCTGCAACTGCCGCGACGGAGGAGCTGGATGTGGCGGAAGCTGTCGCCATGGGAGACGCTGCGGAAGAGGTAAGCACGGACGACATGAGCTCTGCGGCGGCGTTGGCGTAGAAGAAGTCGGCGACGGCTGTGGGTTAAGCCTAGCGGCACCGAATCGTATGAGAAGCGTAAAAAAAAGGGTTTTTAGTGTGCTCTTGATACCATGTGAGAATAATGGAACATGATGCTGTCTAAGGAGCCCTGACAGATATATTTATAATAAGAGAGTTTAATGTAAAGTACAATACTAATGGTCTAATAATTCTATTACCTTTGACTCTTGTCTTAAGATGGAACCCCAATTTCTATTAGATTCATTTTTTAGTAATTCTTAATATTTAAAATAATGATTAGAGAACACCTTGAATGAATAGTCTCTCAGTTTGGCTAGATAAATAAGAGCTTCATGCATATGTTTTTAATGCAAGTTGTTGACCTAGGAGTGATTTGCAGATTGCGTGGCACCGGGGAATATGACAAGTTTTATGGGGAAGGAATCTACAATTGTGGTGGTTGTGGGACCCCACTCTATAAATCTACAACCAAGTTCGACTCTGGTTGCGGTTGGCCTGCCTTTTATGAAGGTTTCTCCGGGGCAATTACCCGCTCAGTGAGTTCTTACTTGCCTTTTTACCATTTCTTAAATCGAATCATCACTTTTCATGCATGTGTAGTGTCATACTATATTGTATGAAATAACTAAACTAAGTATGTGCCTCAAGGAAGAGGGGATCACAAGGTTAAAACTCATTCTGGTCAAGGATGTGCCTCAAATTTAATTACTCTTTTTGTCCCGTTTTAAGCATGGTTTAATGGTTCAACTGAGATCATACCATGGTAATAGTAAAATACACATAATATCATACCTTTACCAAACTAAAGTTAAACAACCAGACCACAAAATTTCAATCCAAGTGAAAACACCCTATGTTTTCAAGTTCAGATTACTATGGTTAACTAACAATAAAATGAACCCTATATATTTAGGAACTATAGTACAAGTACTATTGAGTGAAAAAAACCAAATTTTAATATGATAATATTTATTATGTAAAATCAGAGATTGAAAGAATTAAAATAAATTAGAACATAGCGAGAATTCGTACATGGTGTAGGCTTGTATAGTTGTATGCAAATTTGGATGGTCCAGTGTAGGGTTTATAATGAAAAAATTGCTCGGTGTGTACAAGGTATCATATTTTTCCATCATTTGCAATGAAGCCAAAGATTCATTATTTTTTGGCTTGAGATTATGATGGAATAAAGCAAAATGGCTCACTAAACTGTCTGCGCTTCTTTGTTATGGAGCAGCAGTCAGTCCATGCAATTTTGGACGCGATTTTCACTATGGGTCATCCGGAAACAGTCTCTTTGTGCTTTAGTACAGGGGTAAGACTGCGTACATCCGACCCCCCTTACACCACCGTAGGTGGTAGCCTTTGCGGCACTGGGTAAATGAAAATGATGATGATGATGATGATATGGGCTACTCATATACGAGCTCTGTTTAACATATATAGTTTAATGCTCTGTTTGTATCTTGGGTTAGGCTTTTCATTTTAACGAAAATGTTTTATAAATGGTATGATTTCTCTCTCTTCTCTAAGGATACATTTGGATCTTTAAAAATGCTAGATAAATTAAATGAAATGCTAAAAAGATAAGTTTCTTACATTTGGTGTTATCTAAGAAAATGGTAAGAGAAACCAAACATGATTGAAGCTTCCATTATTTGGAGGGGTGTATTGTATATGGATTGTGATGGATTTTTTTTAATCCATGAACTTTTAAAGAAGTCCATAGACTTTTAATTCCATAATTTTTTTATGAATGAATCCGGTTGATTTGCATAAATCTATGGGTTTCATATGAATGATATTTATCAATTTTATGAAAAGCACAAGTTTTAACTAGAACTATTTGAAGTAACTAAATACCGTAAGAGATCAACTGCGTGATTATGTAATACCATAACAAACATATTGATTTTGAGTGATAATAAGTAGAGACTTTCGAGTTTGAACTAATATCAGTGGTTTCTTTCTTTCCAAACATTACCTATATAAATTCTGAATTCCATGTTTTTCATTTTCCTTAATCTTCTAGCCCGGCCAAGTTTGTACCCAAACAGTATAAATCATACTCCCTCCGTTTCTGAAACAAGTTCCACCTTTCCTTTTCGGGCAGATTCAAAATTAAGTTCCACTTTCAAACATTTCCTCATTTGGCAAATTATCTACATCAAAACAGTGTCAAACAGTGTTCAAACAGTGTCAAACACTGTTCAAACAGTGCCAAACAATGCACTCTACAGTAAAGTCAAATTTATTTTCTTAATATGTGTAAAGTCAAATGTGGAACTTGTTTGTGAATCGGAGGGAGTATTAATCTTACTAATTTTATTTTATTTCTCTAGCATTAACTCTGGCTTGGATGTTGTTGTCTCCAGCATTAACTCTTAAGTCTTAATAAATATCACAAAACACAGTTACGAATGACATACTGATATGAGTTGTCCTCAAACTGACAACTGGTCTCATTATACTCTCTTAAAGTTAGTAGAGAGAGCTCCAAAATATTTGTAAATAAAAATTAATCTTACTAATTTTATTTTATTTCTCTAGCATTAAATCTGGCTTGGATGTTGTGTTCTCCAGCATTAACTCGAAGTCTTAATAAATATCACAAAACACAGTTAGGGATGACATACTGATATGAGTTGTCCTCAAACTGACAATTGGTCTCATTATACTCTCTTAAAGTTTATTAGAGAGCTCCAAAATATTTGTAAATAACAGGTGGTTAAACTTGTATGTATCAATATGCACAACTAAATCAATAAACTATAACCTTCCATTGCTTTTCCATATTAAACTCAAATAGTCGTGTTTGGCAGCCTGACCCTGATGGAAGGAGGACTGAGATCACCTGCACTGCTTGTGGAGGACACCTAGGCCATGTTTTCAAAGGTGAAGGGTACAAAACACCTACAGACGAACGCCACTGTGTGAACAGTGTCTCAATCAAGTTTGCTCCTGCACATATTTCAGAATCCTGAAGTTGGAGCTGGTCATAGCGTAAAAACATATTCCTCGCTTCTAGATGCAGAGAGGGCTGTTGGAAGTGTTATTCTGAACATTGGGGGTGGCTGTGTTTCATGTTGTTTATTGTTGTTTTAAAGACTACTATCAGTGTATATGCTCTTATAAAGTGCTGTAAGTTGGATTGATTACGATGATGTTGTTATTAATTTATTATATATGATTATAAATTCCCTTGTGCCGTCTTCTAAATATTCTGCCTTTTCTTTACCATAACTCCATGTTAGTAGTAGAAGTGTTTAGGGTTATTTGGCAATTTATTAGAACTGTCATTTACTATGCTATACCTCCCTGGCTCCCTATGACCCTATATGCTGAGTAACTCCATTCTATTATTTTCTCTCATACGGAGTATGATATAAGCTGCCTTGGTTTTATAGCCCTGGTTTTATTTGTTGATGTTCACCGTCCTAGCACGAGGTTCGACAATAGCATTCACCACAACACCACCCGTGTCCTCAGACCTCAGGTTTGATGATGAAAACTTCCCCAATCATTACACGCTCTCCTTGGAGCAAACTACAATAGGATTACTTATCATGTACTTAATATCCATCTCTATTTCACGCACCACCTTCCCAGCAGCTCATACATGCTTTTTATCCATGCAAAAACTCTTCACTTGGATTTGCATTGCCGTTCCGACTTCTGAGGTTGCGGATTCCCACCCTAGGATCATGTCATGAAACAGTAAATCTAGTCATCTAGTGCAATTCTCTTGTCTCTTTCTGGACAATTAGGGATTCTACATTTGGACTTTCACCACAAAGTAGTATCAGCCCTCCAAGAATTCTTCTGTCCCAGTCTTCTCTCTTGCTATCTTGGCCCAGGACATTGCTATTATGGTGCTGTTGGTTTACATCTACGGGAGATCAAATTCATGACACTATATAACTATATAAGTAATGAACTTAATACACAATCTGGGGACTCAAGGTCTTATATGAATCCTTGATCACAGTTAATATGTGTCTTCCCGACAACCTCAATCTTGAAGACCTCCGAACCAAGCTACTTGCTCCACAACAACTCTTTTGCCTTCCTGTACATGAGATAGTAAACATTGACCAAACCAATAAGCCTTGACAACTTCCTAGAGGCCGTCCTCGAGAGACACAAGCTCCACAAGCTTCAAATCTATCTACCATGTTCTGCATATTAAACATAAGCTTATTTCTATTCAATACTTAACTATAACTTGCCCACATATTATTTATGTCGTGCTTTGGGTTTTGTATGTTGTACATGTACTTGAACTTCAGATCTTGCAGGTGAAAAGAATTTACAAGGGATTATGCTTTATGCCTTCATCCTCCCAAGAGTGTTTAACTAATTCTTGCCTATTATGGTATTGAAGCCTATGCGATATTATCCTCAATGAAATACAACTACTTTGTAGGATAAGAGTTATCTCCTCATCACATAAATACCTTGTACTCCTAGTCTCCTACTACTTAGCATTTCAAGTAGAGTGATTTACAGAACAGTAACAACCATTGTATGTATAAATAAATAAGCTACATGCATGTACCAAAAAGTAAAAAAAACTATAATCAAAGATATTTGTTAATTATAGTTATTCCTCTATCAAAGCTTATATGGCATCAGACAATGGGGTAATCATGGTCTCTCCTTGCAATGAACTGCAGACCACAGCTACACCTTTTGGCGCTACCATTTCTGCTGGTAATCAATCCATTAGTAATGTTCTTCCTTCGTCCACAGTGAGCTTGTCCAGTGCTCACCACTTTGTCTCCATAAAATTAACATCCCAAAATGACTTGTTTTGGAAAATGCAGCTAGTTCGCTTCCTTTATGGTCATCAACTTCTTGGCTACGTTTGCGGCACCCTGTCATATCCACCATCGTCTGATCCAACTTATACCATGACTTGGATCACTCAAGATCAGTCTATCTTGAGCATGTTGACATCATCATTGTTCAAAGAAGTTATGCCTCTAGCGGTTGGCAAATCCACCTCTCGTGACTCTTGAAGTTTGGACTGCTATAGAGTGTGTCCTTACTTCTCAAACTTGGTCTCGGTCTCTTAGTCTCGTTACTCAAATTCTAATAGAAAAACTCGCTCAATTTGACCGCCCTGTCTCATTTGATGAACAAAATATCTATGTTTTTTGGGAGTGAGTTACACACCTGAGCTTATGGCATTGGTATGAGCCTAGTATGAGGTAGGTCTGTAACATGTGGTTAATTGTGGAACTCTAAGAAATTACACATAACTAAAGGGGGATGAAGTGGGAATCGTTGAGGATCCAGAAATTGAAAGTTTCAAACCTTTGTGATTGCCAACACAAAGTGTGTCACTACCATTATATGGTGCAAGGTTGCCGAGAGTCACAATATCAGGACGCAGCATGATAAGTTGTGCCATTGTCTGGAATCTAGATACCAATTGTAAGTTGTGACTCAATGAAGAAGTATGTGGCTGGTGATAAGTCACATTAGCTTGTGGCAGATGATGTGTTGTATGTTGTTGGGAAAAGTCCATGTAACAATCATAACAATGAAGTGTTATATGAAATGTACAGCTGCAAATCTGGAAAACGGATCTGATAGAGTTGTCCCGACCATGAAGTGGTGAGCAACCACGATTAGAACCATTTTTTCTGCAATGGAAATCATCACGATGACCACTGATGACCATTGATGGGTGCTAGTCCATATACTCTATCAACTACTATGAGGAGAGAATGTATTTTGGGGAGAAAACTAAAATGACTAACACATAGTTTGGATCATATTGACAATCGGCTGTGAAGAGGCACTAACAATGATAGGTGTAGATGAGGCATCATCGTAGATGAACTTATGAGTACTGATGAAATCAGCAATTTTATCAAGAGTAGGAGGTTCTGAGTGAAGACCGCAAAAAAGTAATTTATGCCATAAATTACTAAGCTCATGTGACTTATCACCAAGCTCTTTGCTAAGGAGATATATCTCCAACAGAGTACCTGGGCAAAGCTCAAATTCTAATAGAAAAACTCGCTCAATTTGACCGTTCTATCTCATTTAAGGAACAAAATATCTATGTTTTTGCGGTCTTCACTCAGAACCTCCTACTCTTAATAAAATTGTTGATTTCATCAGTACTCATAAGTTCATCTACGATGATGCCTCATCTACACCTATCATTGTTAGTGCCTCTTCACAGCCGATTGTCAATATGATCCAAATTGTCTGTCAGTCATTTTAGTATTCTCCCCAAAATACATTCTCTCCTCATAGTAGTTGATAGAGTACATGGACTAGCACCCTGGTCATCAGTGGTCATCGTGATGATTTCCATTGCAGAAACAATGGTTCTAATCGTGGTTGCTCGCCACTTCATGGTCGGGATAACTCTACCAGATCAGTTTTCCAGATTTGCAGCTGTACGTTTCATATTACACTTTATTGCTATGATTGTTACATGGACTTTTCCCAACAACATACAACACATCATGTGCCACAAGCTCATGTGACTTATCACCAATCACATACTTCTTCATTGAGTCACAACTTACAACTGGTATCTAGACTATGGCAAAACTTATCATGCTACGCCCTGATATTGTGACTCTCGACAACCCTGCACCATACAATGGTAGTGACACACTTCGTGTTGGCAATCACAAAGGGTTGAAACTTTCAATTTCTGTATCCTCAACGATTCTCACTTCATCCCCCTTTAGTTATGTGTAATGGATACAACGATTCCCACTTCATCCCCCTTTAGTTATGTGTAATTTATTAGAGTTGCAAAATTAATCACATGTTACAGACCTAGCTCATACTAGGCTCATACCAATGCCATAAGCTCAGGTGTATAACTCACTCCCAAAAGGCTAGTCAATTAGGAGGGAACATCTGACTTATAAGTCATCGATCAAGCTCATACTTGATCGGTGTGGGACAGTGGCGGAGCTAGGAATGACAAGCTACCGGAACCGAGACTTAAGGAATTTATATAGAAGAGGCCAAAGCTTAAATTCTCACTATATTTTTTACTACTTATAAATATTTATGCATATGTATATATATCACAATTTTTTTCTTGCAGGGGCCAAGACTCCCACCAGCCTCCCTCTGTCTCCGCCCCTGGTGTGGGATCATTACAATACCCCATGATGGAGTATATGGGTCTGAGCCCCCGGACCCACATACTCGGAAGAACAGAAAGCACAAGGCACGGAGTGGCGCCCTCGTCGGCCAGGACGCCCCCGTCGGCCGAAAAGGGGCCAACTCGGATTATGGTCCTGAGTCCAAGGAACCCGGGTGCCCTCGTCGGCCGTGCCCTCGTCGGCCGTGCCCTCGTCGGCCACGCCCTCGTCGGCCACGAAGACCTCACAGAATCGGATTTTATACTTACTCATTTGTACAACCCATTAGTGGCTTTGTATTCGGCCCAGTAGCGGTCCAGTTGTAAATGGGCCTCCCGAGCCCAAGGCTTGGGAGCCCAACCCTAATTTTCTCTATAAATACTCCCCTTGGGAGTAGTTATAGGGGTTACAAATTCATTCTATTGAAGCATATTATTGCACTTCTCTCTCTAGCTCTCACTTCTCTCTAGATATACTCTATCATTTGGTGCTCTCGTTGAGAGCTAGAACAATCAAGTTAGCACCCTTCGTCGCTACCAAGCACAGCTAACCACTGATCATGGGGAGAACTAAGTCAAACCGCAACCTCGTCAGCAAAGTCATCCCTGAGGACCAAGAGCCCAGGGAGCACGATGAGGACGCTACGGCCGACCAGGCCGGCGGAGGGGATCTCTTCCAGGAGGCCTTCAACCTCACAACGGACCTCCGCAACCAACTCAACGGCGGCGCCCCTGATGCCCGCCTCGGCTTGGACAAGAAGCGAGCTGAAAAGACGAATCACGCCCCGGCCCAGCCTATGGCCGCGGCCTCTCCGTCCGTAGATCCTCAGGTCCAGGCCGCACTATCGGCTATCATCGCCAGCTTGGCTCAGAACCCCACCGTCCTCAGCGCACTCTTGCCAAGGACTGGGGGGAACGTCACTCAACCTCCTCAACCCCAACCGTTGGCCGTCCAGATTGGCAACGACGAGGGGGTGGTGCCCCAGGACACGGCGTCGTCCCACTCCCACCCTGCTTCCCCTCTTCGGCCCGGACAGACCCCAACGCGTGGAAAAGCCTCTGCCTTCAATAGGCTAGGTGACACGCGCCGTCGTCCGGTTTCGGAGAGGATGGCGGGACGGATTGGTGATCCTCGTCCTGGCTCACCAAGGGAAAGCTTGGGGTCTGTGTCCCGGACAGCGGACCAGCCCC